AGTCTGCGAATTTATGGCGGTACTGAATCGTCCTGTTGTAGCCCTGGCTTCCAGGGTTAGTTCTTACTGTCAGACGCCAGTATATTCGGCAGCAGCGTGACAAGATGCTTGGAGTGGACGGTATCGGTGTGGATCCCCTGTGTCTGTGTGGGCATAAAGAAGAAGTCTGAAATACAAAGTGCGGTAATCCAGAAGCCCATGCAGCGTGGAAGTGACATGTCGTGAGCAAAGATGGAACCATCCTGCGTCCATATACTGTGGCCACCCTCTACGAAAGTTCAACCTACTATATGGTTGTTCTGCTCGGTTCGAAGCTGTCCACGTTCGAAAATCGAAGGATGGGCACAGAAGGCACCGCAGTCTTTATTCCAGCGTCTAAGAAACACAAACTGATTGCACGTCATGATATTCATTGTCAAAGATGACGATATTGAGCCAGGTTATCAGGTGACCTGCCAGTTCACAAAGTCGATCCAGGCAAACAATCAGGCTGCTTGTTTCTCTCAGACAACACAGAAACTGACTTAGGGGGAAATTGACGTTGTTGTTTTTACCGCAAATTTGATCCAGAACTTCCGCATTGGGACGATTTGATTCAGGATTTTACTTTTCACGCCTGTTATTGCACCATCCTCTCTAAAACGAGCCAATAACTGCGCTTTGCACTCTCTCACAGACTATGACCGTCTTCTCTAACGAGTGATTGTTCCCAAGATTTTTCTAGGTTGTATTATGAAGAAATTGACTGCAATAGTTCCATTTTATGTGACATCTCAATTCCAAAAACACCTAGGAGGTAGTAGAGACGGCTTCGGTTTTTTCCAGTCATTCACAATTGGAAATACAACGTTCCTTCCCATGGAGGACAGTCTTCGCAATGAACGATCCAGAGGGGAGCGAAGTCTTCTGGCTCAGGTTTTTTCTCAATCCAGATCAGTCAGCCATGTTCGCAAAACTCTTTGGTTGTTGATATGGAAACCCCTGATATCACCAAAGTATCACTCGGACCTCATGATTGGTTTACACTGCACGTCTAAACATGACCTTTTTCATAAGGGTAACTACTCACAAGGTTGCTGAAAACTCTTCGACAGCCCACGACCGGTTTTGCCCTTCCACTTTGGGCTCATCAGGTAGGCGCATTCCCCGAGTTCCCGTCAACCTCATGTTCTACTTGAACCCAAATTGGACTGTTTTCGAGAAATACACTTATTTGCAAATCAATTTGGTTCTCACTAGAAATCCAGGAATACTAAAATTGGGAATCGTTTGTACATATGGCGTTGTTCCAGCACCTGACGCAGTATAGAGATTCAGTCTACTCCACCTTAACCTGGCAGGAATTCCGCTTGCTGCTCGCGAGTCACCAGAAAGCAACGAAGGATAAGTGACGCCAACAGTCTCGTTACGGTCAGGGTCAAGCTGATCCCCTTATGGGTATCGCACGCACCGCGAGCCTTTTTTTACATGATCACTGCCACCGATTCTCTACAGTTTTCTGGGACGGTTCCTCTCTCATGAATGCAGGAAAACAGATCAAACAAGCGCTGACTAAATGTACCACTCCAGTCTGATCAACGCGAGTGGGAGGTCATTCGGAATAGAAAGTAGGTGGCATTTGAAAGAACACATGCAGTCGTAAACCTCCGAGGCCGTATTGGGGTTCGACGTTCACCGTCCAAGTTTAAATGTCAGCCGTAGTCGCCAGATGTGTGGCAGCTGGTGGCCACGAAAATTATTGTTGAAACGCTTCGTCCCAGTGGTCGAAGCGTCCTTTGCTATTCAAGATGGTCGCTCCATTCTTATCCTTGACGGCCTCGCTCACAGGTGGCTTCCGGCAACTGGTCGCACGGATCAACCGAAATAATCTTCGTGTATTTTCGAACCTACTCCATTCTCCTAGTTTTTCGTCCCCACCAGACTTCACAATCGGCTCGCAAACCTACTTTCACTTGAAATCTGGTTATCTGTCTGATCGAATTGTGTTCTGGATTGCGGAGACAAACAGTGCCACTGTTTGGCCATATGTAATCAGTTCGCCATCAGCCACTGGTAAATAGGTTCTGCGCAGAATTGTAGTTCTGCGTGAAATAGACAGCTGTCTGATACCCAATCATATAAATCAAATGCAAAATGTAAGTGTGCTTGCAGTTTCAAGAGCTGCTTAGCCTGTTGAGCACTTAGATGACATGCAGGTGAAGCACAAAGTTAACCGACGATAATATTTTTCAAGAGGCGCTCGACTTAATAAAATATTTTCCAAGAGACAGACAATGTCGGAGTATAAAGAAGAAATGTTTGTTTGAGATTTGAAATTCAAAAGCACTAAATTATATATAAAAATGCGTATTCTTCTACGGACATTTGCAGTTTACCGGTGTATACTACTGGTGAAAAATACGAGTAGTATATGATCAAGTGATGGAGCGCCATCCCTTCATCTGATGGGAGGTCGATATGGAAACTAATGAGCCATTTTACAGTGTTTTTTCAGTATCGTTTACTATTTAAACAAAGTTAAGTAGAGTCAAGAGGTCTTTTTCAGTATCGTTTACTATTTAAACAAAGTTAAGTAGCGTTCAAGAGGTCTTTTGGGGATGTAGACTTCCAAAATCCCCGTGAAAATGAGTTGTTAGTTCCTTGTCCCGATAGCTTGTGGCCGCTTATTTCACGTTGACTGATAAGGAAATAAGCACATGAAAGTGCTCTAGCAGATAATCAAGCCATCAACCAACGAGGGTACTGCTGAACACACCATCTAGTTGAACTAAACAAGCGTGACGCACATTGTGCCTTTATAGCTTGACCTATATTTGGCCATGTCCTGAAATAAAGACCAATTATGTATTAGCGATCAATACACGGTAGATAAGCGACCGATTGCAGAGGACAAACCGTGTTGTTCACAGCCAGGCTGAGCAAGCACAAAGCGACTGTGAGTTTAGATGAGACGAGTACCTCGATGTCTAACCCGAATCTTGGAATGGTTCCTAATCATGTAGTCTCCTCACTTGAGCGCATATTACGTCTTGAGGATTTGGGCCGTGACAACTCTTCAAACACCGGTGGGAAAGCTGACAATTTTTGGGGCTAAGGTGATGCAGTTCTGACAATCAGTTCCGTAATATAACGATGACGGTGTAAGAAGGAAATGACGACAGCCCAGATTATTGCGTGTAAATAACGGACATCAAGATTAGCGGCGGACTGACGACAAAAGCTAATGTCGACAGGACACCGTGATGCGTGTGGCATAACACATTTGGAAGAGAATCCACACATGTTTCAATTTTGCACCTGCTGTGGTAGTATGAACGTGAATTCGGATGCAGGTAGCATCCTCCTCAGTCTGAGGGGTTTGAGTTCTATCGCCCTTTCATTGAGTTTCATCAGTATCATCAGCCGTGAGTCCTTGAAAGTCCCTTTGCTTTTAGCAATGGCGGATGCAAATCATCTGGTCGTTAATAGCAAAAGGCGCACAGGAACAAGATCAGATAAAAAGAACGATTACTGGGGTGGACACTTGCTTCTTGTTAATATGTTTGGTGCACAGAGGTCCGGTTTTATTGTCCTGATTTCAGTGGCTTCGGTGTTCATATTAGGTGGAACAACTGTCATCATAAACAAGAGATTCAGTTGGGTCGCTCGTGAAAACCAAATTGATTCACAAATGAGTGTATTTCTCGAAAACANAGGAGGCAGTCATTTCGGTCACAGCAGTAGCGTCTTGCGTCCTTGTGTCCGACAGACAACACATGATTGCAGAGGGAATCCAGCGTACGGGCAAAAACCACCTGTTTATCTTTTTTCATAAAGGAAACTACTCACAAGGTTGCTGAAATCTCTTCGACAGCCCACGACCGGTTTCGCCCTTCTTGGTGCTCATCAGGTAGGCGCAGCACTTTCAGTTGTAGAATATCGTAAACGCGAGATTCAGTTGAGTCTCTCGTGGAAACCAAATCGATTTGCAAATCAGTCTATTTCTTCAAAAGCGTCTGCGTCCTGATATCTCTTGTGACGGAACTCCGTCAGGCCGATATGGGAATCATCGCAGTGAACGGCGAAGTGGAAGATAACATGTCAGACAAGGTTGGTGAATCAGCGTTGAGGTGCGAATGGGATAGAGGTCAGCTGTGCTGGGAGATTAGGGCGTATCAAGTGTTCAAAGACAAACTTACTGAGGATAAAAATACCGTGGGATCTACAGCGGTTATCTCAAGAGCCTTTTAGGTATCCAGCGTTTCAACGTCAACTCGGTTGCGTATGTCCCCAGTACATGTATGGTGGGACTTACACTGCTGTGTGAGAAGCAGTAGAGAGCTGCTGTGGGAAGTGATCGGCCTTGAAAACCGCGTACTTCGGCCATCCACCGGTTAACGGTGGCCACCGGTGAACCATCCAGTACGATCCAATACACTCTGAGTCTCCAAACACATCTACTGAATGTGGTACCGTCAGAAACGAGATATCTATTCCCAATTTCCAGCGAAGACGCACTAGGTCATCTCGTTGCAGCAGAGAAGGTCAGACTACCGTAGCAACAGTTTTGTGAGGCGTTTCCAGAAAAAAATACCGATATGTGGATTAGAGCTTAGGAGCAGATGGTATGAGAAGTTTCTTGAACACCTTGCTGCCGCATCCTGAGTCAGATGCTCAAGGGTCTTCAGACGCATGTTCCCATACCAAAATCTTTACATACTTTGGGATTCACCTCATCAGACTGGCACTGTCCTTGGCATGATTTCGAATGAGACGTTTCTCTCTTTTCTCCCATATTCTCCTGTTACTCTTTCGCATTCATCGCTTGCATTCACTTTTCATGTTTGTGACCATGGTCTTCAAAAATAAATGATAATATAGTCGGCCCTGAAAACCGCGTACTTCGGCCACCCACCGGTGAATCATCCAGTACGATCCAATACACTCTGTGAGTCTCCAAACACATCTACTGTATGTAGTACCGTTAGAAATGAGACGTCTATTCCCAATTTTCAGCAGTGACGCACTAGGTCACCTCGTTACAGCACAGCAGGTCAGACTACTGTAGCAACAGTTTTTTGAGGGGTTCCCAGAAAAAAATGACCGATGTATGGGTTAGAATTTAGGAGCAGATGGTACGGGAAGTTTCCTGAACACCTTGCTGCTTCATCCTGATTCAAACGCTCAAGGTGAGCCACATAAGTTAAACCTTCTTTCGGCCAGGACACCTGACAAGTACACAGTTTTTTGTTCGATGAAACATAATCAGCAACTTTTTGATGCCAAGATGTCATGCCACCCGAAGGAAGCATCAGGACTGGGATTATGCTACTTTGTCCAAGCCTAGATTGGAGAAGTCGAGATTCAGAGGTCAGGTTCGAACTACGGAGCTTCCTGGCGGTAAATTCGCGCTCTAACCACTTGGGCCACCTCGCCGTTGCATCTCAGTCGCAAACCTCATTGGATCGTTTGATCAGCCATTATCTTGACGACGTGCCTTATTCGTCCTGTTGCCCAAAAACAAGGAAAAAACGACACTACCAAATCCGTGAAATCGCTTCCCCGTGAGAGCTTCCGATGTCCATACTTTCTGTGAAATTGGCAAACAAGGTAAGCTTGCTTGGACATTGT